GCATTAAATAATATTTGAAATAAACATTAAAGTTTATTAAATACATATATAGTTACATACCTATCTAATTATAAGTTGATTAATTTGTTTTAATTTATTTTAATACCTCATCAATTTATTAACCAGAAAAATAATAAATAATATATTACCTATAAAATAAAAATTGTGCATTTTTTTACCAAATTATATATTACCCAATAATTACAAATGTTTTTTGCAGCATATCTTCACGATTTCGATTGTATATTATACAGTTATGTTGAGTTTTTAATGCATGAAAATTAACACTCTAACTTTATGACAAAAATTATTTCATTTTTCGGTTATTTCTATTACACCCTGTATGACTGAACACAAAAAACTCCACGTACTTACATTAAAAATGTCGATACCTATAAAGCTACTACACAACTGCAGTCGCTACATTTAATGAATTGATTTTGACTCATCATACCCACCACACGCACATCTGTACGTATTTACTGAATTAGGCATCCGCTCGTCAAAATATGTAGTGTGTGGTGACATATAATAATACACTTATATTAGGTAGTTATTACAGATAATTTCCGTACATTATATATATTTTATAAAAACATAATTTGTGATATACTGTCTTAATAAATAATAATGGAAATATTTGACAATCAACTTATTATTTATTATATTATGTTTATATAACGCGCGTTGTACCCACTAAAGGAAATATAAATTTCTTAAAAATTTGCCGTTTTATGAAATGGATTCCGTTTATTTACACTTTGAAAAAACTAATCAAGTGGAAACCTTTTCATGAAAAGAACCGCATGTCAGTATCTGCGCTTTTCGCGATCAAATGGGTGAACAAGTATTATAGCTATTAGATGTGTGGGTTTTATCGATAGGTTGGTCCGACCAATCCGTAAGGTTGTCAGGTGAAATAATATTTTAGTTATCATGATATTATAATATTATAGCTACAAAGGCGTGCAGCACGCTAGCAGCTCACTAATAATAATAGTAATAATAATAAAACGCGCACATTGTGCATAATAATAATAATATTATTATTATATTATATACGGACGACGACGACGTGATGATGACGTTCGGCGGCCGGCGGGTAGAACAGGCTTGATCGTGCATGTGACGTCTGTGATAAGCGCTTTCCCAATGCCGCGCGCTATATACGACTTCTCTCATCGCGTACGTCGTACACAATATGCGTATATCAGTAGCTCGGCAGGCTACATCGGTTGAGTTATGTACACACACACTCACATGTACCGCAGTACTTGTATAGTAGTGGTGGTGGTGGTGGTGGTAGTTTTGATAAAATCCCGCGGTTTTAATTAACAATGTCAATGGCAGAGGTATATACTGATATAATATAATATATATATATAATATAGCGTGTCTACGTCTAGACCGGCTGCCGTTTTCGTGGGAGAGAGGGTGTGGGTGAGAAGGGTGCCAGACTGCAGGGTGGATGAACTGGGAGAGGAAAATTATTTTGCGGCTGTTAATATAAAATAATAATATACGCGTGGTGTATTATACACGTTCCGTTCGCGTCGGCGCGCGACGCGCGGCAAAACTTATCGTACAAATGTATGCGATGCCCGCGACAGCGTCCCGCGGGTCGCTGCCGCCACCGAGGACGGACAGCAGCCGTGGCAGCATTACGCGCCYCGACACCGTGTACGCCGGTAGTCTCGAGCACTTTCTCCGCTGCCGCCGTGTCGTTACCATCACCGTTGTCAAAACACTGCGATCTCGAACCTCTGAGATAACTACCACAAGACGAAAATAACAGCCACATTGCCACATACGTCTCGTCGTCATCGTCCTCCTCGACTGCGACACCCCGTAAGTGACTCTGATAATCGTTATCATTATTATTATAACTGTATAGTTTTTTGCATGTGCAGTGTTTGTAACACGTAGATCCGGCGAAGATGTCGTCGTCGCCATCGCGATTTATATCTACGTGCAATATTTTGTCGCCGAATCGCGGTCGGTGGGTTGGTTTCACCGGTGGGTTACACGTCGCCACACAATATTAAATATTAATTTAACGCGCAAGGCGTTTGAACAGGTGTCTGAGCGCCTGATGTTATTGTAACAAGTGTCGGACGACGTCGTGCAGGGGTGGTGCGGTGGGTGAGAGAGCGGATGATGAAACGAACGCAGCACGTGCTGGCTGCTGCTACTGCCGCGCAATACCTTTATTACTTACAGACGCGCCAATTGATCAAACTCGCCGTCGCGTACCTATCTTTGCCATGATAGTAGGGTTCGCCGGGGCTATCAGTGTTTTTAAGTACGCCAAAGTAAGTAATAGTACCAGCTTTTGTTACATATTAGTCACCGTCATTGTTTTTGTTTCCGCCGAGAACTRCAGTAATAAGTTGCACTCCGCCCGCCGACCACCACCGTCGTCGTAAAATATCATATTTTCGTCAGACCAACAAGCAGTGTACGCGCGCGTATTATCAACGATATTTTAATATTATCGCGTGTGTATCGTTATTCGTTAAAAGTATTTAATGAGTACCGCAAATACGAAGACTCCAACATGAGGGCTAGCGGATTTTTAAAGGTACGATTCTTTCACGATAAACAATAATTGTAGTGACGCGCGCTGATAGGTATAGTGAGATTTGTTTTACAAATATTTTGAGTTATTTTTTTATTGTTCATCCCGTAGCTGGAAAGGAGGACGAAAACCGATTTCAATGGAAACAGCTATTGGGATGTCTGCAGTATACSTTTGATTTTCTATGGCGAGAAGCCGGGTATATAGATAATTCTTTATTATATTGGGTGATCCATTTAACGTAAGACACTCATTATTTAAAAAGTAAGTATCAAATCTTAGTTTTTGAAAGTAATTTTTTAAATAATTTTATATCATTAAAAAACAACACTTTTCTAAAAATAAAATTATTTTGAAGCAGGTACTCGATGAATAAAAATCGAAGTTTTGATGATTACCTAGTGTATGTCTAATGAAAATTAGTAAAATCATACGTATTTAGCATAGATAAGTGGAGTGAAGTAGTACAGAATTATCCCGTAAAATATCAGTTGACTACTCCGCTCATCTAAACTTTAAATATATTTAATAATAAACTGTATGATAAACTACTTGTCTGAAATTTGATTTTTATAGATAGGAATATGAAATTAAAAATGTAAATTATCATTTAAGAAATAAAAAAACTTAAAAAATACAATGATAAAATTAGTWAAAGTATAAATGATTTCCATAAATGTTGTTTTGTAACGATTTAAAATTATGTAAAAGAAATATTTTTAAAGACGTCAGTGTTTTCTGGAATGTCTTACAAGTTATGTTAAATGGATTACTTCGTATAYAATGCCTTCGTCTGGCAGTGGCGTATATAGGGGGGGGGCTAGGGGACTGCAGTCCCGAAATTACAGTCTTAACTGTTAAATATATAGTAGCATCTAGATGCTAGATCATTATTGTTAGTTACTATAATATTACAGCCCAGCCCCAAAAATTATTTCTATGTTCTCTACTGCTTCGTCATGATGTCGATATTATTGTTTAAAATCTTATTTTTYGAAAGCAGTGTGCACCACTGCTAGTACAAGTATAACTGCGATAACGATGTTTTCTACAGTTAATATTATTGTTTAAATGCGCCGACAGAATCACATTAATTATAATTTTACATTCCATTCACATCCTTGCATATATTTAGGTACATTCATTTAATTATCACTAACTCGACTGTCAATAACTATGGCTTAAACTACAGATATTGTTAAATCACTGTAATTAGGTTTAGCTTAGGGTTATGATTAAAACGATTACTTTCAAGTATATTATTATAAATAATAATAATAATCTACTACAATATAGTATATACTATATACCATAGATTGAATGAATATACTAGTATAATAAATATTTTTTAATAATGAATTATAATTTTGTTCAAATAATGTGGAACTGTAATGACATAAAGATTCAATATGTATGTAGCCGGTGAATTATCAATTAATATATAAAGTTGATTTAATATTCATATTAGGTTTCTTTGTTTGTTTGTTGTACGTGTTATTTGTGTAATTAAACAACATGTACATACATTTCTCAAGTAATCATTATAAGCATTAGCAATTATAGGTTAACTAAAAAACATTTCGTTTGAAATTTGCCTAATATATAATAAATAATATATATATATATATATATATATAATATATATATATTTGGGTACATAAATTGTTTTAAATATTTAATTTAAAAAAATAAAACTTGTTACCCTAGACGTATAAAAACTTATTCATTAGGCTTTACTATTTTTGAGACATGTTTATATAGTACTTGTAATGCAATATCAAAATATATAAACACAATTTTTTGTTATAGATATTTTAAGTTTAAAGACAATATTAGATACTTGTGCGAAGAATAACGATTTAAGTTATTTCATTATTGTAATTTAAAATATAATATTTGAAACTCTCGGTTCACACCCAGATCAGAACAAAAAAACGCTGAAATTTTTAAAATTAACTAATTTAAGTGACGAAATATAATTGTATATAATTTAAATAGTAATTAAGAATTGTGAACTAATGACCTATACTGATGCCGAGTTGTATTTATTTTTTATTTTTTTTAAGATCAATAAAAAAAAATAATAATTAATGAATCACAGGTACTTGGAACTTTTAAAGTTGATGTATTTATACCAACGTTTTTTTTCAAATGYAACTTTTTCGCTGAAAATGAATTCAAAATATATTATAGACTGTATAGTAACTAATAATTCCTATTTCCTACCTAATAGTAAAAAAAATTACTTAAATCATAATAATGTCATAAGATATACTTAGTACCTAATATTATAAGTATAGACTAAAGACCGTTTAGTGCGGAATCGTGTTTCTTATACAATAATTTTGTATCATTGAATTCAAATTTTACACATTCTTTAGAGCGACGTCTTGTCTAGACACTTATACTGCAGTACATTTTAGAACTGAAAATATTTTACCGAATAAGTACAATTACATTGTAATAATATTATCTTCGTCATTTCTTCGTCATTTTAAACTCGGATGTACTTATCCGTTTTATGATAAGAAATAATGTTGTAATTTGTAAATGATTTTATTTTTATTAGATGGATGGTGTGGAAGCCTTATATACAGATGGAAATTGGGCCTGCGATTATATTTTTGATTATGTAACTTGGTCAGATAATTTTACCAATAAAATACCAAGTTATTCATTTAACGTATTACACTCATTAAAAAAAATATATATATATATATATTAATGTTTTTGAAAAGATTTTGCTTACATATTTTTTTAAGTCTTTTATTATTTTTAAATTACAACTTACATTTACTTTCAATTTCATCTCCGAAAACAGAATATTTTTTCTGAGTAATTTGTTATGTAAAAATCTATATCAGGATGAGTATAGTTTGTGAGTTATATCTAAGGACCTATATAAAGTATAAAGTATATTCATGAGAAGAGGAGTGGACCAATATTTTGTGGGGTAACCACGTACCTATCCATCCTACTCATCTAAACTTTAAATATACTACTTGTCCTAAATTCGGTTTTTGTGTATCGAAATRCGTAGGAAAATATTCTGCTTTGGAATGTAAAATTAAAACTGTATGGTTCATCATAAAAGATTACAAAAACTTAAAAATATTAATGAATATATATTTTTTTCTAAATGTTGATTTTTTACAACTAGAACAATTATTTTTCAAAAACTTTGTTATTTTTTTCAATTTTTTTATTGAGCTTGTAGGGGTTATGAACTGTGATAGGGGTAAGGTTTTGGTACGGAATAGGTTGTTTTTACGGTTGTTATGCTAGGTAGCATACACGTGTGTAGGTATGTGTGGMAAGTTTTTTAACTACTATGAACCCGGGTGGTCACCCATCCGGGAGCTAGTAGTTGTGGCCGTTACTAGTGCCAGTCACATTCCGCAATTGGTAGCAACCAACGCGCCACGCCAAGTCACTAAAAAACATTTATACTTTTTTAAACAATGAATATTTAATGATGAAATCATACGGTTTATTAAGCACGACATCATTTAATTTGAAAATAATAAATATCGTATATACACATTTATATATAATTTAATTTTGCTTAAAAGGAATTCGCATACTTTTTAATAATATGAAAATGAAAATAAAACGAAATGATATCTGGAGGTTAATGAGAATTGCCTCATCATGGAATCCTTTGGTTAATGTCAAATAGATAATTCACATTTAAGATAATTATAATTAATTCGATATGAGAATATGGGATATACATATTATTTTTATTTAGAGTGAATTTAGATGTCAATCGCTTTTTCCTGAAAAAAAAAAAATCTGTCCGAGTTTAGAATTTCACAGCTTTAAGTGTTGTTATTATTATTAGGATAATTTATATTATAATAATATTGTGAAAATTAGAATCTTTAATGCCATTGGCATGGTATCATTCATCGGATAGACAAGTGGTTTTTATAATAATGGAGTATTATATTATAATAAAATATTTAAATATATATTTAAAAAAACATGTATTTATAAAGATATATTTTCAATGCATATAATATTGCGGAGACGATTTTATAGTGATATTTAATCTGCTATAGACAAACAAATGACARACAAATGATAGCTCACATACGAGTTTTTTTTCAACTCGTGAAAAATAAAAAAAAWTTGTTTACCTATATTATATAGGTTGCCACTATAGTTAGAGTCCATAGTATTTAATAATAATAATTTTGGCATGACTAACGTCAGGTGGTACAGCTATTTTATAATTTTATATAAATTGATAAGACCCTGCAGTCTTCTGCAATACATGTTATAATACATTATTAAAAGTAGTTGTTATCGTTTCCGCCAACAATAAATATTATTTATTTCTCTTTTGTCTCGTGCTCGAGAGTAATTTTCACGTTTTTATTATTTTTATTTTGTCTTTCTTACCGCTAGAAACCACGTGTTTTTTCAGCAAACCATTAGGGGGTAAAGAAGGATTTCACAGACCGTGATTAACCCTCCGTGGCTGGAAAGTCTATATACATTTATATTATATAGGTACATCAGCACATTACCTTAGGTGTGCTTTAAATACACACACAAGTATAATTTATAAAATGGTACCTATAAGTATTTAAGTCACGTACATCAACGCATTTGAAATTTTCGTTAATTTTTCCACGCCGAATATGATTATAATATATCCTTTTACCACTCTATAGGTACCATTTACAACGTAATTATAATACATATAATAAATCTACGTTGCATCGCTGTTCTCGATCGACTCATCACTGRGATCGTGCATTATATGCACAATGTTATATTTACTAATTTTGTTACTATCATCGTGGTTCGATTTGAAAAGTATCGACCCGATATTCGCGGAACCGCCGCAGCCGTCGTGAAATAATCCGCCGAGGAAGAGTGTGCAGGCGGCTGCGGCGGCGGCGGCAGTGGAGGACCTATCTACTGTGTGTATATAGTTGCCGGTCGATAGAAAACATGTGTCCTTTTTTCCATACTGACGATTTCCGACTGCC